CTCAGTGTCAGTAGAACTGTGTTCCATAGAGTCTCCATTGACAGGGTTTTCAAAAAGTTGCCAGACCTTTCTTCTGCGGCATCTCCAGGTAGACTCAAACTCTCCATCTTTTGATTAGCAACCAACTGTGTTAATCAGTTGCATGACCCAAGGAACTCCCATAACAGCATAAAGCCCATTGCCGCCATCAAGTCGATTCCAACTCAGAGCAGCGGATAGGGCAGAGTAGAACTGCCCTATAGTTTCTAAAACTAATCTTTATGGAAACAGACACACATGTTCTCTCATGCAGCAGCTGGTGGAGTCAGACTGCCAATCTTTAGATTAACAGCCAAATACTTAACTATTCCTTTCTTAACATAAAACCAAGCCCATTGTCACTGAGTCCATTCCTAATCATAGTACCCTATCCAACAGAGTTTCTGAGAGTGTGAATCCTCCATGTGAGCAGGGAGTCTCATCTCTCCCACCAAGTGGAAGGTGAGTTTGAACCATCGACCTTCTGATAACCAGTCCCACACTTAGCCACTGCACCATCAGGATGGTTTTAAATAATAATGTGTTGTGCTTGTTAGGTGCCATCTGGTTCCAACTCATAGACCCCATACACAACAGAATGAAACACTAGTCCGTCCTGCGCCATTCTCTCAGTTGTGTTTGAGCTCATTGTTACCACTGTGTTAGTCAATCTTATTGGAGGGGTCAGCCTCTTTTTCATTGACCCTCCATTTTACCAAGCATGATGTCCTCCTTCAGGGATTGATCCTCCTGACATGTTCTAAGAACAAGAGATAAGGTCTTGGTTCTAAAGAGCATTCTCGTCGTACTTCTTGCAACACAGATTTGTTTGCTCTTATGGCATTCCATAATTCTTTCAATATTCTTTGACAACACCATAACTCAAATGCATTGATTTCTTCTATAGGCTTCCTTATTTATTGTCTAACTTTCACATGTATATAAGGTCCATTGAAACTACCAGGTCAGGCACACCTTAGTCCTTCGGTATTTAACACTTCAAAGCAGATTTGCCTATGAATTATGTCTTTTGATTTCTTTCTTGATTGCTGTTTCCATGAGTGTTGACTGGGGATCCAAGCAATATGAAGTCTTTGACAATGTAAGTCTTTTTCTCTCTTTGTCATGACGGTATTTATTGGTCCACTTGTAAGGAATTTTGTTATCTTTAATTTACATTGAGGTGCAATCCATATTGAAGTATTTGATCTTCATCAGTAGGTATTTTGAGTCCTCTTAGCCTCTAGCAAGCAAGGGTGTATCATCTGCATATCACAGATTGTTAATTGAGTCTCTAATCCTGATGCATGCTCCTCTTTATATAATCCAGCTTCTTGGATTATTGCTCAGTATAGACTGAATGTTGTCGTTAAGTGCCGTCGAGTTGATTCCGACCCCTGACAACCCTGTATAGGGTTTCCAAGGAGCAACTGGTGAGCTTGGTTCAAATGACTTTTCAGACCAGTGAATTAACCCACAGTGCTACACCAGGACTCCCCATTGTAACATAGGACCCCAAAATAGATTTGACTTCTGGTCCATCTTACTCATTTAAGTTAGTATATACAACTGTCTGTAATATTAACCATGATTATTGTTGATTATTGTTGTCAGTGCCATCAACTTGGTTCCAGCTCATAGCGAACCTTGACAGGATTTCCGAGGAACGGCTGGTAAGTCTGAACTGCCGACCTTGCAGTTCAAACCAATCTTGCAGTCTAGCGCATTAACTCACAGCGCCGCACCAGGACTCCATTGATAGTTATCCTCAAGTCCATTTTGCCTACGGCTAGCCCATGTTTTCAGTAACCTCTTATGCATGCGAAAGCTGGACAGTGAATAAGGAAGACCGTAGAAGAATTGATACCTTTGAATTATGGTGTTGGAGGAGAATATTGAAAGTGCCATGGGCTGCCAAAAGAACCAATAGATCCGTTTTGGAAGTGCAGCCAGAGTGCTCCCTTGAGGCCAAGATGGCCAAACTCCGTCTCTCTTACTTTGGACATACAGTCAGGAGGGACCAGTCACTGGAGAAGGATACCATGTTTGGTAAGCTGGAGGGTCAGAGAAAAAGAGGAAGACCCCCAGCAATATGGACTGGGCAAGTGACAGCATCGATGGACTCAAGCATGGCAACAGTAGTGGAGTTGGCCCAGGATCGGGCAGTTTCGTTCTGCTGTGCATAAGGTTGCTATGGGTCGGTACCGACTCAATGGCACCTAATAACAACAAACAACAAAGCCCATGCCACAGAGTAGAACTGCCTTACTAGGTTTTCTGGTTGTAATCTTTCTATTTAAGCTTTTAATGTGAATTGGGTGAAAGGTTACACGGCAGAATATCACTTTCGCACTGAACCTATTGTATTTTATTTCATTGCAATGATTGTAACCCCCTTTATGCGCCATCGGTTAACAGTATTTGCCTCTATTTCCCTCCACCCCCCACCCCTTTTTGTGACTTATGCAAAAACATGCAGGAATACATAATGATTTGAACAACCAAAGGGCACATTTTGTAAGCCAGCCTCCTGGCTGCCAGCACACAGTCTTTCTCTTTCTAGGAGTCTGTAGAGTCCTCAGTTGCTCTATCTTTCCAAGCTATCACCTCTGCCTCCATCTCTGGTACACCTATTAATCTGGTTAGGATCCCATGTTTGGCTCATGTTCTTCCCTCTTGACAGTCCTAGGGTCCTCTGTTCCTGGACTGTAAGATTAATTACTGCCCCTTTTTCGTTACACAACTTCTGCCTTTACAGTTGTAAAATCATAATTAGTCATGATTATTACTATTATTAAATCAAAAGAATCCTATTGCCATCCTTTTCGGCAGACCCATCTAGATGGGATAAAAACTATTCAGTGGCAACTCTATCTTTCCCCCCACACTCTTAAACTAATCTCCCTCTTCAAAACTTATAAGCCAGTCATTTCGTGCCTTTAT